ACTCTAGAGGAGCAGCGCTAATTGGGGACCCCCCCTTCTTTGATAGATCTCCTCCAAGATGGCCCCAAGAGCGCCTCGAAGGCTCCCAAGAGCGCCCCAAGAGCGCCCCAAGAGGGCCCCAAGAGGCCCCAAGAGGCCCCCAAGAGGCCTCCAAGAGGCCCCCAAGAGACCCCCAAGAGGCCACAAGAGGCTCCCCGAGATACGCAAGAGGCCCCCGGGACCGCCAAGAGGCCCCAAGGACGGCCCAAGAGGCCCCCAAGCTCGCAATTGTCCTCCTCCTCCTCCTCCTCCTCCCTCCTCCTCCTCCCTCCCCCTCCTCCTCCTCCTCCTCCTCCTCCTCCTCCTCCTCCTCCTTCTCCTTTTCCTCCTTCTCGTCCTCCTCGTCCTCGCAGTCCTCCATCTCCTCCTCCTTCTATTCCTCCTCCTCCTCCTCCTGCTCCTCCTCCTGCTCCTCCTCTTCCTCCTCCTACTCCGACGACGACGGCTCCTCCTACATCCTCCCCCTCTTGGGGTATATGGCGGCTCACCCCGCCCTTTGTTCTTCTGCATGCTCCCCCGCTTCCCTCATAACCTCCACTCCCCTGGGACTCATTTCTGGACGGGCTGGTGGGGATACGCGAAGCGTCTAGAATTTGACTCAGAGCACGCGCACTCGCTGCTCAAGCTTTCTATTCACCCGAGGGCCGAAAAACGAACCAAGAGGGCCCCAGGAAGCGCCCAAGGCAGTCCGAGGGGCCTCCAAGACGGCCCGCGAGACCCAACAGAAGCCCCAAGGGTGCTCCAAAAGGACATCCAAGAGGGCCCCAAAATACGCAAGCCACTTATTTGCCTTGTGCATTTCAATGCGCGTCGTTTTTTCGCGTCTCAACTCTTCCGACGCCCGAAGATGGCCCCAGAAGCCCCCAAGGCCGCCCCAAGACGGCCCAAAACGCCCCCGAGAGGGCCACAACGATTACAACTACTGATATGGCGGCGACAACGACGACGGCGACTACCACCAGCGCTACTCTACTCACTGCGGCCAAGTTCCTCCTCCTCCTCTTGCTCCCCCTCCTCCACTCATCATCACAATCGTCATTGTCATCGTCGCCAACAACATTATGACTCAACATCCCCCTTTTCTTCCTCCTCCTCCTCCCCTTCCTCCCCTCCTACCGCCAAACCGCGAGGCCCGCCGGTCCTCCTTGCCCTTGGCAATGATCTGCCGTACATCCTCCGCGGAGTGCGCGGGCACGTCGCCCAGATAGTCCATCGTCGCCGGGTCCCAGCATGGCACGATGGCCTTCGACTTGCCCCACTCGGAGGCATAGTCGAACTTGCGGCGCCTTGGGTGCTGGAGGGGAGGGCCTCCTTCCCCTCATCCTGTTCCACCAGTTCCTCCTCCTCCACCTGCTCCTGAATCCCTTCCTCATCCCCAAACTCCCTCTTTCCTTCACCTCCTCCCCCGTCCTCAACTGCCCTCCTTTTATCCTTACTTCCATCCTTCCTTCCGTCCTTTCTTCCTTCCTTCCTTCCTTCCTCCCTCCTTGCTGAACGTACTCCCGCCTTCTCGTCCCCCTCCTTATCATCCTTTTCCTTTACCCCTCGTCCTCCTCCTCCTCCTTAATCCTCATCCTGATTCTCCTACCCCGCGTGCGAGTTGGTGCCCGAGCACCCTGTCAGCTGGCGGGCCCTCTCGTCGTCCTCGACCTTTACAGCGATGTCGGGCGTGTCGCTGAAAGGGCCCAGGAGGTCCTGCTGCTCAGCCCAAATAAAACGACGGAAGGAAGAAAACGAAACCGGATTGATGTATGATTGCCAGCGTGGGCAAAAATGGTAGTTTGTGCCCTCTGCATGTTCAAGCTGTGCGGTGCGAGCTATGGGGCACGAGCTATGCATGTAGTGTTGAGCTGCGTGGTGCAGGCTGCGTGCTGCAGGGCGTGCTGAGCAGGCTGCGTGGTGCCAGCTGTGTGGCGCAACCTGTGCGGCGCACCGGATGTGGCGCAGGCTGTGTGTGAAGGGGCCCAGGGACACACAAATAAACACACAAATACCCAGATTCCCCATGTTTTCTCATATTTTCTGGGTTTCTGTCTTCCCCCCCACCTCCCACATTCTGCCATACTTTCTGGGGGATCGAGGATCCATCGTGCCTGCGTGTTTTTTTTCCCTCCTGCGTGTGGTCGAGGCCGTGCGACCGAGGCCGTGCGCCGCGCCAGCGCACGAGGCACCCGCGAGGCAGCCACGGGCGACCCCCGGGCGAGGACCCAGAGGGCGCTGCCCGCGCACGGGGCGCCCACCGGGCGCCTGCGGCCGGCCGCCGGGCGAAGGTGTACTCTGTAAGAACGGTTTTTTGAAGGCAGATCTGCCTTCAAAAAATTGTGTAATAACGGTTTTTTGAAGGCAGATCTGCCTTCAAAAAACCGTTCTTACAGAGAGGGCCAGCTGGAGGCCACGGGGAGCCACCGCTCCTCTCCTCATCCTCGCCTTCCTCCACCTCGCTGGAGAGGAAGGAGAGCCCTAGTCGAGACAACAACAGCAACAACAACAACAACAACAACAACAAAAATCCGCCGGCCCTGTTGGTGTGTGTGCGGCTTTTACGTTTGCGTCGTCGTCGTCGCCACCAGCCGCCGTCGTCGTCGTCATCGTCGTCGCTGTCACCGCTCCCCCCTGTCGCTGTGGGCCATCCTGTTGAAACGTTCCAACCAGGGGGAAATCGAGCAACGTCGTAATCGAGACGAAGGGAGCCCCTTTGCCGCCGAAGAGCGGGAGGTGTTCCCCTCACTTGCAGAAGTTTTCCACTTCGACTCCTTGCCTCCCAGACACATCTGGCTCCCCCTTCAGGGTCGGCAACCAAAGTAAGAGATGTGGCGGTGGTCGAGGGCTCTTACATTATACGGGTGCGCCCAGAGCTCCGTTCTCCTGCCTTATGCACATCATCATCAGCAGCAGCATCATCTTCAGCATCATCATCATCCTCCTCCTCCTCCTCATCATCATCATCATCATCACCACCATCATCATCATCACCATCACCATCATCATCATCACCACCACCACCACCATCATCATCATCGTCCTCATCATCGTTGTCAGCATTATCAGCATCATCATCGTCATCATCATCATCGTCGTCATCATCGTCATCATCATCATCATCATCGTCATCATCGTCATCATCATCATCATCCATAGCATCATCAGCAGCATCAACAACAACATCATCATCAGATCAGCAGCAGCAGGATCATCCACATCGTCATCATCAGTATCATCAGCAGCAGCATCATCAGCATCATCAGCAGCATCATCGTCATCATCTTCATCAGCAGCATCATCAGCAGCGGTATCATCATCAGCATCATCAGCATCGTCAGCAGCATCGTCATCAGCATCAGCAGCATCAGCATCAGCATCCTCATCGTCATCATCGTCATCATCATCAGCATCATCATCGTCAGCAATAATATCATCAGCAGCAGCATCATAATAATCATCATCATCAGCAGCATCATCGTCAGCAGCATCATTAACAGCATCCTCAGCGTCGTCATCATCATCATTATCATCAGCGTCGTCGTCATCATCACCATCATCATCAGCGTTATCGTCATCGTCATCGTCAGCATCATCATCGTCGCCATCATCATCACCACACCATCATCGTCACCCTCCTCCTCCGCCTCCTCCTCCTCCTCCGCCTCCTCATCCCCTCCTGAGCATCCTAAGCCTCTTGCTGAATCCCGTGTCCTTATCCGCTGGCCCCCTGGCGGGGCCACCAGGCTACAAGGTCGGGTTTCAGCAACAAATACAAGTCAAGTCCTGAACTCCCCATTCCCAGTCACGGTTCCAGTGCAGCTTCCAGCTTCCTGTCTCCTATGGTATAGTTCTATGTACTGCATCCCACTGCAACATGTTGCTGATCGCGCGAGGGAGAGATCGAAAGCAGTCCTGGCCACCACGGCCATCCAGGATCCCAGAATTCCCTGGGGGCCCTGGGACCCGAAAAAACTATATATATATATATAGTACATATGTAGATATATATATATATATATATATACATATATATACATATATATATATATATATATATATATATGCGTCGCTGGGCCCATATTCTTCTGAAATTATTCAGATTCGCGCCCCCGAGGCCAGAACTCCTTACAAGTTACGCCAGGTTCACGCCCCCGCGGCCAGATGTTCTATAAATTGCTCCGAGTTCGCGCCCCCGAGGGCAGAATCCTTACCATATCATACCAGGTTCCACTCCCGAGGCCAGAACCTCGAGTAAGTTATACAAGATGGTCAATCCCCAGGCAGGAGTCCCTTCGTAAATTATGCCAGTCGCGCACCCGAAGCAAGAATTCGTTTTGAAGATTGCACCAGGTTCGCGCTCCCGAGACCAAAATTCGCCATAATTTGAACAAAGTTCGCGCTCCCGAGGCCAGACTCCTTCCACATTCCGCCAGTCTCGCGCCCCTGGACCCCCGAGGCCGGATCATCTGCAAATCACGCCACTCGCGCGCTCGATGTCAGACTAACTTTGCGAACTACGCCAGATGCGCGCCCCCGGGGACACGATCACCCGAAAAGTACGTCAGACTCGCGCTCCCGAGGCCACGGCCCCTTGTAACTTAAGTCAGCTTCGCGCTCTGAGAAGGGAACAAAACGTTCTCGAGGTGCGGGCTGAAGGCCCATCGCCCTCGCATGATGTTCCCAGAAGTTTCCAAAACAGCGCCGACTCGTCCCACCATAGCTCCGGCACCCCCAATTATGATAGAGAAGAGGGGCTAGAACTTACCGACCACTACACCGATGGAGGACATGTCGTTTCAATGTTGCGCTATCACCGCGGTGCTGCGCACACTCGTCTAAAACAACACCTACACGGATGGAGAGCAAACCGTTTCCAGAATGGGGCTTTCGCCTGGGCACCGCGCAAACTCGCTTTAAAAATAGGTTAACTGCTACATGCGGTGGGGAACGTTTTTGCTACCACATGCCACTCGTCTTGGCGAAGCTGGGACGCAATTGACAGCCTGGCGACAGAGCAGAGAGGGAGACAAGGGAGGGCGGGAACCGAAGAAAGGCTATGGAGTCCAGGGGTCCCTCATTTAAATTGGTTCGTTTCTGACCTGTCTCATCAAGTCATTCCGCTCACAACCTTCCCGCGCACGCACTGACAGGTTAACTGCTACATTCGGTGGGGAACGTTTTTGCTACCACATGCCACTCGTCTCGGCGAAGCTGGGACGCAATTGACAGCCCAAAATCCTAAAGGGTTCTCTGGGAGGGCGAGGCGGGTTAAAGGAAGGATGCCGCCTCTTGATCCCTCTGGCGGCAGAGTAAACAGTTCACAATGCAGTCAGCCAGCTTCGGGGGATACGAAGCTGCCAGAGATGCCCACGTGGCCCCAGAGGGGGCCTTGCCTTCCAGGATAACGCGGGGCTTCCCTGAAGCCGAGCAAACACCACCAACACTGCGGCACCGCCTTTGGACTTTCAAAGTGTCCTGGGGGTCCACTCCGAAAAACAAAAAACGCGCACGCTTTCTCCAGCGGACCCCGAACTGGCACTGATCACACACTCGAGAATGCATGCGATATCGCTCGGTAAGAGACTTCAGTTCAGGCGCGTGCCAGGCTCTACTATTTATCGGATGCTCAAAAACAAAGGGCACCTGCGAGCGGGCAAGCGCCTTCAATAATTTCAACGCGGCTCGAAAGGTGGCGTTTCCTTGTAGGATTCTCCTATTTGCGCATTCGGAGGCGTCGGGGAGGCCCCAGGGAAAATCCTTCGAGCGACCTGGCTGACGCCCCCGATCGGCCGCTGTTCCCCAAGACGCACAAGGAGGCCCAAGAGACGCGGCTATCACCTCATGCCTAGATATAGCGGCCCTAACACGCGCAAGCACGACTGGTCTAGTAAGGTCCTCATTGGGCCCATTGAGGCTGTCAAAACCATGGTAGTTGAAGCCTCGCTTTAAAGCAGCCTTACCTGTCGAGTTCGAACCCGAGAACAGATCAAGAATGTACTTACGCTGGCGGCCGTGCCGCCTCACAGGGTAATTGTCTCTGCACCTTTTCCGAGCAGTATGTCCTCTAGAGGTAGCTCGTACTGTGTCAAAATACCTGGCGGCTGGGACGGCAGGAGAGGCCAGCTCTGACCCAACCTCACCGTCTTCTCGTAACGTTGCATCGACTTGGCATGCTTCCACTGTCCTCTTGTTTGCATCTCCTCGATCGTTCTGTACCGTCGAGCGTTGTCCATACAGGGCCCTGAGTGTCTGGTTTGATAAGGGACAATGTGCTCTCGAATCTGCAAGTCGATCAACGCTTTCTTCAACACTGCCAGAAACTGAGGGCAACTGAACGCCCACACCTCTTCTTCGGGATCCCCTCGGGCGAGTTCGCGGAAGATAGGCATGGCACACCGAAAACATCCGCTGTCCAACATCACCCCGACGTCCGACAGTCCTGTCCTGCTTCTCTGGGGCTTGCCGTCTAGAAACAGCAGCAGCGACCACCAACGGCGCACCCCCATCGCAGGCGCGATGATGTTGCCTCTCGCCAGCGCCCGCCGATGACTGGGCCTGAGGTAGCCGGAGACCATCGCGAGCAAGAACACCGCCATCTGCAGCGCGTTTCGCACCACCATGCGCCAGGCGAGCCCGCACCTGAGGGCCAACGGCCATGCGCGGCGGCTCCGCCCGGGCGCCAGCCTGCGCCATCCTTGACCTCCAGGCCCGAGGTGTCTTGGCCTTGCCCTGCTTCGAGAACCCCGGGAACCTGTACATGAGGCCTGCCATCACTTGATCGCCCTTGGCGCTCTCGGGGCCTTCGAAGGACAGATGGTTCATGTAGTCGACCATCGCCTCGTCCATTTCTGAGGCCGTGGTCAAGGCCCGCGGCGGGCCCTGGTCGCAATAATCCAGGGAGGCCTCCAGCTCTCGAGCGCAGCGGTTCCTCGCAGGTCCGAACACCGACCGCCTCTCCAAGAACGTCTGGCCCGCCACCGCCGTGCTGCCCTGTGACGCCTCCGCGCCGTAAGCCCGTCGCCTCCGAGCTGCCTTTTTCTGCGGCTCCCTCTCGCGCATCTCGCCGGCTGGCACGACCTGCCGATCGTCGGAGGCGCTGCTGCCGTCGTCGCTGCCGGCCACGATCGGGCGCGACCAGTCCTGGGGGAGGGCTTGGAGGTCGCGCTCGTGTCCGGGCAGTCTGGGCGCTGGCGACAGCTCGACCAAGCTCAACCTGGTCTGCCAGTCCTGCGCTCTCTGGGCCGCGGTGAGTCTCGGCAGGAGCTGCGGCCCTCGGGGGGTCCTGCTGCCCGACTCTGGCGCCACCAGCTGTCGGGAGGTCGGCGCGGCAGGCTCGGCCGACGCGGCCCTCTCCAGCAGACGCGGCCGCCGCGCTGGAGTCCCAGGCGGAGGCGGCGGGGTCTCCCGCCGCCGTCCTCGGCGCAGCATGCGAGGACGAAGGCCCGTCAAAGGAGTGGACCTGCAAACAGGTTTGAGCCGAAACGGGATACGAAGACGTCAGACCGCACCTCGAATACACAGGTTCAGAGCAAACACTGGCATCAAGAGACCAATCAGACTTCTCGGGCACTGCGGGCAGAACAGACAGAGCCCTCTGAGGGTCACATTGCAACGGGTACTGCACAGAATTCTCAGGCGGGTAAAAATGGAAGGGAGCGCGAACCTCAGGGGGACCTTTAGACCTGGACTCCTCTGAAAAAAATGCATCGGGGAGAATTGCGCCAAGAGACTCCTTAGCCCCTTTCTTATCAAAAACACGAGACCCATAATCGGCGGGATTCAACTCAGACGGAACCCACCTCACAGACACATTCAGATTCTTTGCGAGGCAGTAGGCTTGAAACCTGCGGACCTGGACGAGGAGAGCAAACTCTTTAGCACGACTCCTGTTAAAAGACAGCACAACTGACATGTTATCAGACAGAATCAGCTGACGGAAGGCGGCACCGAACACAGACTGGGCGATGCGACGGACGCCCATCACCAGTGCTCGGGCCTCCTTGATAAGGATGCCCCCCTCGAATCGCCAGCGCTGCACCTGCTTGGTGCGCCAGCGGTTACTCGCCAGGCCCGCGGCGGGCACCTCGGGGAAGGACGGGCCTGCCTCCCACGCAGCGGCCTGCTCGTCGTCGTCGATCGCGCCCTCGGCCAGCCGCCACTCGCCATCGGCGTCGCGCCAGAAGCCAGCCGCCTCCAGCGCCGCATCTCGCGCACCGCGGCGGGCAGCAGGAGCGGCCCCGGCAGCACCGTCGGTCTCGACCGCCGCGGGCTCCCGGAAGCGGGCGCGTTCCTGCACGCGGCCCACCTCGGCCACCAGCGATCGCGGCCACCGGGTGGTCGAGCCAGCTCCTGCCTCCAAGCTGCTGTCGGTCGCCACCACCAGATCGTTCCACTGCAGCGTCCAGTCACTCTCCAAGAAGATGAGGAGGCCTCGGAACGTCTCGAGCTCCTGGCGGGCTTCGAGCCACAGCACACTAGGTTCGGCGCATGACTTCCGCATGAAAGCATAGACCGTAAGGAATACGCTCAACGTACCCCTGCTCAGCAATCCCGCAAACGCGCAGTGGCCTCCCAGGACCTCGACCGCCCAGCCTGCGAGGCGGCGGCGTCGCAGGAGGCCGTTCAGGGCCTGTCGAATGAGCCAGAACCGCTTCTGCGTCACTCTCGTCCTCCAGAGGGCCCCCGAAACCTCGGCGCCCAGCGCCTCGACCTCGGCGCCCACGGAGCTGCCGTGGAGGAGGAGGCCGCGCTGGTCGAAGCCCTCAACCAGCTGCGCGATCGCATCGGTGACGATGGGCTCGTCGGTGGAGGCCACCCCCAGGTTGTCGACGTACACGTAGTGCGAGACGCGGTCCTTGGGGACGCTGGGACCGAAGACGGGGGGCCTGCCACGGTCAGTAAGGGGGCTCTCGCGCAGCTGCGAGCAGATGGAACTCGTCTGGCACTCGTTGATCCGCTGGGCAGCCCACAAGCTCCACGTGAAACCCATTGGGAAGACGGCCCAGCACGGACTCACCAGATCGTGCCTCTCCAGGGTCCTGCCTTCCCAGATCTGGCCCTCCGCGCCGAGCAAGTACGCTGGCACGACGGGTAGGCAGAAATACTCGGAGAGCCATCCAGGAAGTCGCAACCTGCGGAAGCAGCCCTTCACGTCGGCCAGGCCCACGCGCAAAGAGTAACTGCCGAGGAGCCGCTCCGCCCCCTCGCCCCAGGGGCCCAGGCCATCTGGCAGGGCGACCTCGACACGGCTGAGGCCCTCCGCGCTCAAGAGGCTGACGCCCGGCGGCGGCTCGAATAGAAGGTTCGCGGGCCTGGCGTCAAGGATGAGCCTGAGCCGCTGACCTCCGTCCTTCTCGACAAAGAAGAGGCCGACCTGGCAACGCGGGCGCGTGGTCCAGCCGACCGAGCCGCGTCGGCGCAGGTCGCTGATGAACTGCCTGTAGGTCTTCACGCTGCGCTTCAGCGCGGGGTCGAAGGAAGGTGTCACGGTAGAAGAGGGACTGTCAGCGCGCAGCATGCGCTCGGGATGCCCCTTCAGGAATCTCTGGACCTCTGGAGGGGCCACGTCCTCAAACGGCGGGCAGCCCTCCACTGTCTCGGGCAACGAAACAAGGCCCTTTCTGAAAGGCGCGACACGGGCGAGACATCCCGCCCCATCGCACGGCGCATGCCCGCGCAGCAGCCGGCGGACGGCCGCGCGTTCACTGAGAGCATCAGGACCTGGGAACCGCCGCGAGGCTGACTCGCAGATCCGCTCCAAAACTTCAAGCTGCATCGGGTCGGGATCGAAGTAGGCCGGTCCGCCCCGACAACCAGCAAGCCAGTTCAGAGCATCCACCGCCTCGTTACCCATCTTGAACACCAGCCTCTCGCGCCGCCGCAGGGCCATGCTCCGAACGGAGTCGGCCACAGGCAGCTCAGGCAGGCGCCAGCGCGGCAGCGGAAACAGCTCCCTGGCACTGCGCGAGGCGGCAAGCCGACCCCGCGTCACCCCTGAGTCACGGCCGGGGACGGGGTTCCCCCCGGCCGCGGGGGCCATCATTGCCCCTTGGGGGGAGCACCAGCCCCCCCCGCGCCTCCCTTCGCGTTCTTCGATGGCGGGCGCCCCAGCCGACCCTTGCCGCCGTCGTCGGCGGTGCCGTCGCCCTCGGTGCGCCGCGGGCCCTTGTCATACGACAGCACCGCCTGGGCCTCCCGCTGCTCCTTGATCCTCCTGGTGGCGAACCGCAGCAAGGCCTGGTCCGCGTTGCCATCCGAGGACGCAGCACCCGGGTACAGGCGGGCGCGGCCCCAGACAGGCTTGGCTGGATCGGAGTACACCTCCACCAGCCCCGCGATCCTCCTGGCCGCCGTCTCCAGGCACATCGGGTCGCCTAGATTCACCTGGTCGTAGACCGCGGCCCAGAAGAGGATGTCGCAGAGAACATGCATATCATGCGTCACTCTGTCATTGTCGCCGACGCCCCTGGACCTCAGGATGTCCCTCCGCCAGGACCTGGGGTCGCCGTTCGTGCGCTCCCTGTTCTTGCACACCGTCAAGGCCGATACAGGCCCCTCGCTGGGCTGGTCGGGGAAGGCCTCTTGCGAACCCTCTCGGCAGGCGGTCCTGATGGGCTTGTGCTTCTCCCCCTGCGCGTCGTAATCGACCTCCAACCCTGGCCGCCTCGCCTCGCCGAAGAAGTCCGCCCACTCCACCAGCCTGTCACCCGGGCCCGCTACCTCAGCAGGCGGCCCGGGCGCGAGGTCCGGCAGACGCTCCTCCACCAGCGCGCGGCCGCGCATGATCGCCGCCTTGAGCTCCTCCTCCGAGAGGGCCGCCCGACCGCGGTAGGTCGGCCGCGGCCAGCCCTCGGGCGCGCCTCCACCTGCTGGCATCCGGGCCGCGCCCTCGGGCCCCGCCTGCGGGCTCACGCCGGTGTAGTCCTCCTCGTACTCGGCGCCGTCAGGCGCCAATGCGGCCCGGGCGCGGCAAGCTCGGGCGGAGGAGCACACGCTCATGCTTCACCTGATCGTCACTGCATCTTACGCTGAGCCGCTGGCCCGGCAGAAGCTGCCTCCACCACTCCAGCCCCTCGTCTCGCGGGGGCAGCGCCATCACGCCCTCCGATCGCGGCCTCCGCAGCCTTGGGCATTCGGCCACAGACCCCTCGCAAGGCGCGGTACGCCTCCAGCTGCGCGCCACCAGCACGCCAGGGACCGCCGCCGCGAGGGCGCCGAGCGAGTCCGCCTCAGGCTCCGCCTGAGCCTGCGTCAGCTCGGGGGCCGGGCAGACGGCGGGAGTCGCCTCGCAAGGCGGCGCCTCGGGACAAGGAGGACGAGCGTCTCCGCCGTCCCCAGGCGGCCGCCACGCGGGCGGGCACACGACCTCCAGCACGCAGGGCGGCAGCCCAGCCGATGGGCGCGGTCCCGCGGGCGAGAGAAGCGAGGAGATGTGGGGAAGCCCCAGCGCGAGGACAGCCCAGTGGCCCGCTGGGACCTGGGCCATCTCGAACCGAAGAAAGGCTATGGAGTCCAGGGGTCCCCCATTTAAATTGGTTCGTTTCTGACCTGTCTCATCTAGTCATTCCGCTCACAACCTTCCCGTGCACGCACTGACATGCAGCTGTTACATGAATGGAGGCCAAATCGTTCTAAAAAAGGGGCTCTCGCGATGGCGCCACGCACACTCGTCTTACAAAACAGCAGTTGCACGGATGGAATGCAAATCGCTTTCAAGACAGGATTCTCACCCTGGTGCCGCGCACAACTCCAGCGTGCAACAGTCACACCAATTGAGGGCGGTAGGGCGGTCGATGTTCCCAACTTCTCGCGTTCTCCATAAACCGATAGAGGAACGGCGCTTCCCTTCCAGAACGGAGCTCCCGCCGGAAGTGCAGGCCTGGGAGCCCAGCATGTCAAGGCGGCACCTCCCTCAGCGAAAACGGCTGCTCGCAAGAGCCTGCGAGGAGGTCTTTCGGGACGCGAGGGCATGCTGCAGCCGCGTTGGTGCATGTGCTCTGCTTCGATCGGCCCAGGGCCGCTCCTGGCGGCACCTCCGGCGACGCCCCTCCTGGAGACCGCCCCGCCCGCGCCTGGCATACTCGAGGCCGGCGGGCCCCAGGCGGGCACCGCCCGCACCAAGGCACCACGGCCCGCCGAGACCCACGATGGCAGGGCGCGCGGCACGAGCCGAGAGCGACGGGGAAGGAGGAGGAGCAGGAGGAGGAGGAGGAGGAGGACGAGGGAGGTGGAGGAGGAGGAGGAGGAGGAGGAGGAGGAGGACAGCCGCGTTGGTGCATCTTGGGCTTACTGTGGTCCTCCCTTCGCGCTCGCTCACTCTCTCGTGGCAGTCGATCGCCGTCGTGCAGCCGCCTGTCCTGCCCCTCCGCCTCGGCTGCGGGCCCGAGGTCGAGGGGGGGCTCAATCAATAGGGAAAAGGCAAGACACGAAGCAGGCATCCCTTCGCCTCCTCCTCCTCCTCCTCCTCCTCCTCCTCCTCCTCCTCCTCCTCCTCCCCCTCCTCCTCCTCCTCCTCCACCTCCCTCGTCCTCCTCGCCCTCCCTACCGCACGCAGCATCCTCACCCTTCCCATCCACCCGCCCCGTCCACCTTCGCTCGACGGTCCTCCGAGCGCGCGTCGGCGCCGGCGCGTGCCCGCCCACCGAAAAAAAAAACCTCCCGTGCGACGCACGGCGGCGCGACGGGGGCCGACTCGGGCCGCGTGCGGTCGGCGCAGCTGGGCGGGGTGAGCACACCTCGAGCTTACAGGGCGGACGCGGTGGCAAAAGAAACACTCGCGAGAAACCCAACCCTAGGGGGCCACATGCGAACCCTACCCCTGCCCCCCACGATTTCTGAGGGGGAGGGTGGGCTTCACTTCGTTCGGGAGCTCCCGAGCGAAGTGAACCCCACCCTCCCCCTCAGAAATCGTGGGGGGTAGGGGTAGGGTTCGCATGTGGACCCCTAAACCCTGAAAAGCCGCGCGCGAAGTGCACTCGAGGGGAAACCCGGAGCACCCTGAACGCAGCAGCCTCCTGGACGGCCGCGGGAAGCCACCGCGCAGCGCGCGGAGCGAGGAAACCCAGGATGCCCAGACGAAAGGCAGATGGTTTCTTGATGCGCGCCCCCACCGTAGCCCATGTTCTGCGCATGGTCGGCGGCCACGTGGGTACAGGAAGCGGCAGAAGCAGACTGAAGGGGCCCTGGGACACACGAATAAATACACTCACACACACACACACACATTACCCTGTGACGTACCCAACCCATTTGTATCATGGGAAACGAGGAGTTGGCCGAAACTTGCATGGACAATCAAATTGCAGGATCCGTTGTTTGATATGTAAGCTACTTGGGACACGCGCTTATGGCATGATGCGCAGGAGAACCATACAAGAACGAGGGACGACAACTACAGGCTCGAAGAGGACATGGGGAGTCGGGAACGAAGAGCAGGAGAAAGACGTGCGGGAAGCCCACTGTGCTGTGCCCCTCAGCAGCCCTCGAAAGTGGCGACAGTTTCACAGATCGCAGCCCCCCAGGGATGGCGAGGTATAATTTGAGTCTGCGGTGAGTACCCACTGTGCTGTGCCCCTCAGCAGCCCTCGAAAGTGGCGACAGTTTCACAGATCGCAGCCCCCCAGGGATGGCAAGGTCTAATCTGAGTCTGCGGTGAGTACCCACTGTGCTGTGCCCCTCAGCAGCCCTCGAAAGTGGCGACAGTTTCACAGATCGCGGCCCCCCAAGGATGGCAAGATCTAATCTGAGTCTGCGGTGAGTACCCACTGTGCTGTTCCCCTCAGCAGCCCTCGAAAGTGGCGATAGTTTCACAGATCGCAGCCCCCCAGGGATAGCAAGGTCTAATCTGAGTCTGCGGTGAGTACCCACTGTGCTGTGCCCCTCAGCAGCCCTCGAAAGTGGCGACAGTTTCACAGATCGCAGCCCCCCAGGGATGGCGAGGTCTAATTTGAGCCTGCGGTGAGTACCCACTGTGCTGTGCCCCTCAGCAGCCCTGGAAAGTGGCGACAGTTTCACAGATCGCAGCCCCCCAGGGACGGCGAGGTCCAATGTGAGTCTGCGGTGAGTACCCACTGTGCTGTGCCCCTCAGCAGCCCTCGAAAGTGGCGACATTTTCGCAGATCGCAGCCCCCCAGGGATGGATGGCAAGGTCCCGCTCATATCCGCGCGGTGCCTTACTCTGCAGGACCCACCAGCAGCCCTCGAAAGTGGCGACAGTCTCGCAAATCGCAGCCCCCCAGGGAAGGCGAGGTCCCGCTCAGGTCCGCGCGGCGCTTCACTCTGCAGGACCCACTAGCAGCCCTCGAAAGTGGCGGCAATTTCGCAGGTAACAGCCCCCCAGGGACGGCGAGGTCCCGCTCAGGTCCGCGCGGTGCCTCACTCTGCAGGACCCACCAGCAGCCCTCGAAAGTGGCGACAGTCTCGCAGATCGCAGCCCCCCAGGGACGGCAAGGTCCCGCTCAGTTCTGCGCGGTGCTTCACTCTGCAGGACCCACTAGCAGCCCTCGAAAGTGGCGACAGTTTCGCAGATCGCAGCCCCCCAGGGGCGGCGAGGTCCCGCTCAGGTCCGCGCGGTGCCTCACCCTGCAAGACCCACCAGCAGCCCTCGAAAGTGGCGACAGCTTCGCAGATCGCAGCCCCCCAGGGACGGCGAGGTCTCGTTTGGGTCCGCGGTGGGTACCCTCTCCGATGGCCTCCCCAGCAGCCCTCGAAAGTGGCGACAATTTCACAAGTCGCTGCTCCCCAGGGACGGCGAGGTCCCGTCTGGGTCCGCGGTGGGTACCCTCTCCGCTGGCCTCCCCAGCAGCCCTCGAAAGTGGCGACAGTTTCGCAGGTCGCACCCCCCAGGGACGGCGAGGTCCCGTTTGGATCCGCGGTGAGTACCCTCTTTGCTGGCCCCCCCAGCAGCCCTCGAAAGAGGCGACAGTTTCACAGGTCACAGCCCCCCAGGGACGGCGAGGTCACGTTTGGATCCGCGGTGAGTACCCTCTCTGCTGGCCTCCCCAGCAGCCCTCGAAAGTGGCGACAAGTTCGCAGATCGCGGCCCCCCAGGGACGGCGAGGTCCCGTTTGGTTCCGCGGTGAGTACCCTCTCTGCTGGCCTCCCCAGCAGCCCTCGAAAGTGGCGACAGTCTCACAGATCGCAACCCCCCAGGGACGGCGAGGTCCCGTTTGGATCCGCGGTGAGTACGCTCTCTGCTGGCCTCCCCCAGCAGCCCTCGAAAATGGCGCTCGCAGCAGCACCCCCAGGCAGACGGTCGGCGAGGTCCCGTTTGGATCCGCGGTGAGTACCCTTCTCTGCTGGCCCCCCCAGCAGCCCTCGAAAGTGGCGACAGTCTCGCAGATCGCGGCCCCCCAGGGACGGCGAGGTCCCGGGGCGGTGGGTACCCTCTCTGCTGGCCCCCCCAGCAGCCCTCGAAAGTGGCGACAGTTTCGCAGGTCGCAGCCCCCCCCCCCAGGGACGGCGAGGTCCCGTTTGGATCCGCGGTGAGTACCCTCTCTGCTGGCCTCCCCAGCAGCCCCCGAAAGTGGCGACAGTTTCGCAAGTCGCAGCCCCCCAGGGACGGCGAGGTCCCGTTTGGATCCGCAATGAGTACCCTCTCGGCTGGCCTCCCCAGCAGCCCTCGAAAGTGGCGACAATTTCGCAGATCGCGGCCCCCCAGGGACGGCGAGGTCCCGCTTGGATCCGCGGTGAGTACGCTCTCTGCTGGCCTCCCCAGCAGCCCTCGAAAGTGGCGACAGTTTCGCAGATCGCAGCTCCCCAGGGATGGCGAGGTCAAAGGCAGGGGGGAAGAGAGGGACGGGAAGGAAGGAAGGAAGGAAGGAAGGAGCCGCGCGAGCAGTGCTCTAGTCAAAACGAGAACCCAACGCAGGAAGGCTGGGGAAAAAATACCCTGCGACGTACCCAACCCGATGGTATCACGTGGCAAGAGGAGTAGGGAAACATTAGCAGGAACAATGACAGTGCATGCGCGGCGATTTGTAGTGCAAGCTGCATGGGATACGTAATGTTGCACGACTCTCAGGACAGCAAACGATAAGAAGACGGGGAGCAGGTCTCAAGGCTTGCTAAACATCAACGGGGGCGGGAACGAGGGACAGGAGAAGGACGAACCTAATAGCAAGGGGTGAGGAGCCATCGCGGCAGCAGCAGCAGCGTGACTGCATAAGGTGACAGGAGGCCTTGGGCGGCGATGATGACAGAGGCGGGAGAAAGGAAGAGACTGTACCGTTTTTTGCAGGAGCTCGGTCAGCGCATGCCTGCTGCCTGTCCACAGGATCATACCTGTTTATATCTAGTGCAAGAAGCCCTCGAAATTGGCGACGGTTTCACAGATCGCAGCCCCCCAGAGATGGCGAGGTCTAATCTGAGTCCCCGTGGTGCCTCACTCCGCTGGACCCACCAGCAGCCCTCGAAAGTGGCAACAGTTTCACAGATCGCAGCCCCCCAGAGATGGCGAGGTCTAATCTGAGTCCCCGTGGTGCCTCACTCCGCTGCGCCCACCAGCGGCCCTCGAAATTGGCGACGGTTTCACAGATCGCAGCCCCCCAGAGATGACGTAAAAGGCAAGAAAGAAGAGGAGGAGCGAAGAGAGGAGAAGGGATGCAAGAGAGGAGGAGCGAAGAGAGGAGAAGGGATGCAAGAGAGGAGAGGAGGAGGGAAGAGAAGGAGAGGAGCAAGAGACGAGAGAGGAGGAGGGAAGAGAGGAGGCGGGAGAAGGAGGAGGTGGAGACCGCAGTGCTCTATTCAAAACGAGTACCCAACGCAGGAGGGTTGGGAAAAACAGGATGCCCCATACTTCCCCATATCTTCTGGGGATCTGCCTTCCCCCCCACTCCCCATTTTCTCCCATATCTTCCTGGGGAGTCGACGATTCATTGCGTCTCTGTGTTTTTCCCTCCTGAACAGCCCATGTTCTGCGCGTGGTCGGCGGCCACGTTGGCCCGGGCAGCGGCAGAGAAGCAGACGGCGGGGCGCCTCCGCGGCGAAGCGAGGCACCCCAGGGGGGGGGGGCGCAGGGCAGGCCGGAGGCGTGGAGAGAGGGCGCCGCGGGCGGCGGAGCGCGCTCAGGGCTCAGGTCGGGCACGTCCCCCTACGGGCGGATTTTGGACGAAGAAATTTCATACATATATATATATATATATACATACATACATACATAAATATACATACATATATATAATATATATATATATATATATATATATATATAATATATATATATATTATATACACATATATATATACATATATATATATATATGTATATACCTATACCTGTATAGCTAGACAAAAACAAACAACCAAATAAACAAACAAACAAACAAACAAACAAACAAACAAACGAACAAACAAACGAACAAACAAACAAACAAACAAACAAACAAACAAACAAACAAGACAAACAGCTCAAACATGCACAAAGATAATCAAAAAATCGTGCCCAGACCATTCTTAGGCTACTCTCGAAGGTTCCTCCTGCAGAGGGACACGCCCGACTCGGCTCGGAGCGTGAGGAGCTTGAGCGTGCGCGTGCCTGAGGACGGGCTTCCCGAAGACCGAAAAAGCCCTGGGCTGCTGAACGTGGCCGAGGACCATCGAGCCTTCGCCCTCCACCGCATGCCTTCTCCCCTCCACCCTCCACCGCCTCCACCCTCCACCGCCTCCACCCTCCACCGCCTCCGCTGCATGCCTTCACCCTCCACCGCCTCCACCCTCCACCGCCTCCATCCTCCCGAGGATCCTCGAGCCTTCGCCCTCCACCGCATGCCCTTCCCCCCCCCCCCCCCGCGGCCTCCGAGGGCCACCGAGGGGCCCCCCCGCGGTCCTGACCCAGCCATCGCCACAGCCGCCACGCCACGCACAGCGCCACGCCCACACGCAGCGGGTCGACGCCCAGCGTGCGCGAGCAGGCGGCGTCTGCGGCCTGCAGGAGCGCCGACAGGGCGCCCATTGGCCCTGGAGGGCTGCCGCCGCCGCGCCCGCGGAGGAGGCTCGAAAGTCGAGGATCACGGGTCGAAAGGTCGAGGATCGAGGTTCGAAGGTCCAGGATCTAAACCAGCGGTCGAGGACCGAGGGTCGAGGATCGAGGCACGGAGGTCGAGGTTGATGGCCGGTGGGAGATCGAGGACCGAGGCTCGAAAGTCGAGCATCCAGGTTTGGGACCTTTCTGGCCTGCCTTGGCACACCAGGAGGCCACCAGAGAGGGCGCCGGAGGCCCCGGAACCCCCTAGGGAACCTCAGAAGTTGTCGCCGTCGTCTTCCGCTGTCGTCGTCGTCGTCGTCGTCGTCGTCGTCGTCGTCGTCGTCGTCGTCGTCGTCGTCGTCGTCGTCGTCGTCGGTCACCGTCGTCGTCGCCATCGCCATCATCCTCGCCATCGCCGTCGCCGTCGCCGTCTTTCCCACCGTCGGCGGCGTCGTCCCTCCCCCCTCGCCGCGTCAAAGCAGCGCAGTCGGCGGGGCGCGGGCGGGGCGAGTCGACCGAGAAGAGGTGGCGAGCGGCAGGAGACCAAAGCCTCACACGGCCAGTGTTAGTCGACTCCACGCAAGAGTGACCCTGGGTAAGAGTGACCTTTGGTGCGCGGCTTTTTGGTGGCCGAAGGGGGACCAAACACAAGCGCGCAAGACGCTACTATCGTATCGCGTTTGGCGACCGTTGGAACCCATTGGGCCCACACCAAAGGTCACTCCGGCGAAAGGTCACTCTTACGTCTAGTCGAGTTAGGTCGGGCACGTCCCCCCACAGGCAGATTTTGGACGAACAGCTAAAAACATTTTAAAAAAAAAAAAAAAAAAAAAAAAAAAAAAAAAAAAAAAAAAAAAAAAAAAAAAAAAAAAAAAAAAAAAAAAAAAAAAAAAAAAAAAAAAAAAATGCTCGACCATCCTTTGACTATCTTCGAATAGTCCCCCTGCAGAGGGACGCGCCCGACTCTTCGAGGCCAGTGGGCGGAGGTGCCTGCTCTTCGAGTCCTGCCGTCGCCGTGCCGTCTTCTGCCTCGGTGGCCTGCCCCTCGTGTTATGTCGGGCGTGCCCCCCTACAGGCGTGTTTTCGACGAAAAATAAAAAAATACACCAAAAAGGTCCAAACAAAATTCAAACAATAATCCACACACTATGTTTGGATTCTTTTTGATTATGTCTGGGGTACTTTCTAAAATTTTCGTCGAAGACCCCCCTGTACGGGGGACAGGCCCGACTTCACCCTCGTGCTGCCCCCCCCCTCAGCTGCATCATCGTCTTCCTCCTCATCGTCCTTCCTCTCCTGCCCCCCTCAGGCTCCGGGCAGCAGTGCCAGGCAGGCTCCTTTCAAATTCCCGTCTGGGCCCGCCTTCGTGGCGACGAGGCTTTGGACGCCCGAAATGGGTACCGAAAGAATGGGAACAATGCCCAACAACAAGTGTTGTCCCAACCCAACAGCGGCCGCTGTTGGGCAGGCGGCCTCCTGTCTCGAATCGACACAGGCCGCGGCGGCGTGGACAGCGAGCCCTGTTCAAAATGAACAGGAACTGCTGTTGCGCATCGTACCCATTCTTTCCGTGCCCATCTCGGGCGTCCAGACAGGCAGGCTCCTTTCAATTCCCGTCTGGGCCCGCCTTCGTGGCGACGAGGCGGGAGACAGGCCCTGCACCGCCCGCGGTGCCCGAGGCCGCCCGGTGCCCTGCTCCCTCGCCGACCCTCGGCGGCCTGGGCCCCTCCCGCCTCCGCCTCCTCCGCGGCAGGCCCCCCCTCGGGGGCGGCCAGGAGGGGTGGGCGTCCGAGAGAGAGGGGGGGGGCGCCATCCACGGAAGGGGCCCCAGGACACACAAATAGATACTCCAGATTTCGTAATAAAAGGGAGGGGGTCTCAACCCTCCCAGACGAGAAGTTTCAGACCCCCCCCGTGGGAGAACCCTCCAAAACATCGTCCCCAGACCCCCCCAGGCCCTCCAAGATAGCCTGGGAGAGACCCCCCCCCGAAATGAGACCCCCCTCCCTTTATTACGAAATATGGAGTACACAAATGAAAGAAAGATTCCCCATCTTATCCCGCATGTTCTGTGTGCTTTTGTCTTCCCATCCACGTCCCATACTTTCCCGTATTTTCCCGGGAGTCGACGACGAATTGTGTCTGTGTGTTCCTTTCCCTCCTGATCCACGGCCGGCGGCATGCGCGCGGCCCACGGAAGACAAGCCAGGGACGCGATGAGACAGGCAGGGGCGCCATGGAATCTGGAAAAATGTCATGGCCCATGCCATGATGTCCACCCCCACCCCTAGTCATCACCCCCCTCTTTGCCGCCCCCGATCTTCTTGGAAGGGGCCCCAGGACACACAAATAAATACACACAAACAAAACTATTCCCCATATTTTCCTATATTTTCTGGGTTTCTGTCTTCCCCCCCACTGCACATATTTTCCTATATTTTCTGGGGAATCGAGGATTAATTGTGTCTGTGTGTTTCTTTCCCTCCTGATCCACGGCCGGCGGCATGTGGGCGGCCCACGGCACCAAAGCCAGGGACGCGATGAGACAGGAAGGGGCGCCATGGAAGCTGGGGAACTATCATGGCCCATGCCACGAGATCCACCCCCCCCTAGTCATCACCCCCCTCTTTGCCGCCCCCGATCTTCTTTGAAGGGGCCCCAGGACACACAAATAAATACACACAAATAAAACTATTCCCCATATTTCCCTATATTTTCTGGGTTTCTGTCTTCCCCCCCGCTGCCCATATTTTCCCATATTTTCTGGGGAATCAAGGATTAATTGTGCCTGTGTGTTTTTTACTCTCCTGATTCTTTTCCGCCCGCTCCGGTGCCCGCACCGGGCACGCCCAGCCGTCAGCGACCCCCGCGCCCGCCTCCGCTGGCGCCCGCCGACCAAAGAGTTCGAAGAGGAGGCTCGAGGCGGCGCTGTCGCCTCGCAGCTCGGGTTCCGGAGGGTCATAGGCTCACAGCAGGCTTCACGAATCGAGGATGGGCACTCTTCAGACTCGCGCCCTCGCCAGAGACTGCCTCGCGACTCCTCATGGTCGTGGTCGCGAAAGTGTACAGCGGGTACACAGATGGGGGTGTCACTTCCCCCGCCCTTTCCCCCCACCCACCCACCCACCCACCCAAAAGAACGCCTCTGGTTGAGACACCCCCGCGATATGCTAACCCCAACGCGTAAGTTCTGCAGCAGCTACGCTGATGCAGGTGGTTCGATTTCAGAGTCGCTCTCTCTCTCTCTCTCTCTCTCTTTCCCGCCTGAGAGTTATTCGCATGTTCGGACCCCTGAGTTAAAACAAAAGCAAACGCAACAGCCACACGCGTGGATGGCCAGCGGCTTCCAAAATCACGTTCTCGCCCCGACGCCGTGGTCACATTTCTTCAAGGTTGGTGTTGGCTGCAAGGGTGGCAGGCTACTCCCCTTCAGCAACGTGTATGTCACTCTCTGTGACAATGCCACAAGGCTCTGAACCTTCTAGCGCTCCCAGGTCCCACACCTGTGACAGAGCATTCAAAGAATCACGATCATGGCCCTCCGAATTATTCAAAAAGATACCCACGTACTCCGGACCAGGGGATGTGAGTCGGGAGAGCTGATACATTCCCCAGCCGGTGGCCTCACTTCTCTACTCCCTAAACGGTGGCTGCACCTCGGGGGCTATTCCTTCTGTTGGTAGATGATTGGGTGGGCGTGCCGCGGAATCGCCTGGTGCCCCGCTGTGGCGGCCCGTGGGCGCCTCGCGTGCACCGCGTGCGCTGGGGGGCCGCGGGGGTTCCGCCCGAAGCCCGCCCATGGCCGCTGGTGGCCGCCCGTGGCACTCCGTGGGCGACCGTGGGCACCCGTGGGCGCTGGCGGGCACCACACAGTTTGCAGCACGCCTGCTGCACCACACACGGCGTACATCACACGGCCTGCGGCGAACAGCTTGCAGCACACGTGTCCTGCATCGCACAAGTTGCACAACCCGGCTTGAACGGCCCGTTCTGGGGAAAACCTGCCTTCTGTACCGCATGGCGTGCACAACGCGCATTGCACCACATAGTTTGCACCACATGTCTTGCAACGCAATGCTTGCGGCGCACCGGTGGCACCATACACAGAATGCATTACATACCTTGCAACGCACTGCTTGCGCCACATGTGTTCTCTTTTACAAAAAATAGGTTCTACCACCCTCCCCCCCCAGCCTGATCGACTCCCCGGGAGCCGATGCAAAGCACCTATGATTTTCAACCAATGCCCATCCGACCTGTGAACTCACACTATCCCAGCCAGGCCAGTATCGGCCCGCCCTCGGTTCCGTTGCATAAAATACTATGCGTGCACACTCGTTGATCAAAGATCATGAGTTGTCAAGAATTTGTTTCACAAAACGGGACGAAGTGCACACGCGCGCGTCGTCGCGCGCGCAACCGACATGTTTCAAGGACCTTCGATTTCGGAAAGATTGCCAAATCGAGCGCCCAACTTATATACGCCCTTGCGCGCGCGTTGGGGTGACACGATCCGTGCCAAATAATTCAGTGCGGGCCATTATCGCGCGCTTGCCGCGGGCGCATATCGAAATCCTTCCAAAACCTTCATCACCGATGCGAAAACGCCGTCATCGTCGTCAGCAAGATCAGCATCGGCGCCGTCACGGCTGCCCCGTTGTCGTTGTCAGCATCGTCACCAGCATCGCCATTACCATCATCGTGTCTACCGTTGTCGACGTTGCCATGATACCGCGCCCGTCCAAATCGCCAACTCGCACTGAACTGACCGCTGGGATTTGCCGAGCGGTCAGCGCCACCGCTTTCCCGTCAGTCGCGCCAGACTAGCTGGCCGCTGCGCGCGCGAGCATGCGCGGGCTAGCGCGGCCGCAGAGATGCACCAGCCAACACCCAGCACTCATCGCAATCGCTCCAGCATGGGTTTTGCAAACCACATTGCAGGTGGGTGGGTGGGGTGATTGCGCGAGCAGTGGAGTTGACAATTTCAAGTTCGGCAAGAGAGTACAGCTTCAGTTAAGCAAGTGATTGGTTGCATCGCACAAATTGCACCACCTACACTAAACCGACGTTCATGACACGACCTACTTTGTACGTATGGATTCTCCGTTCAAAGAAATATAAGAATTTACACACACACACACACACCAGTTAACGGTCCACCTTTTTCGTATCGCAATTGATATGCGATTCTGCCACGTCGTCCATCCGAAATATGAATTCGTACTGTCTCAGGCAGGTTAATTTCGCCCCCCCCCCCCTTCCATGTGCGCGCACATTCGTTGCGTCGTCGCGCACGCATGCCGAAATTCTTCAAACACCTAAGACGTCGTAAAGATTCCAATATCCAAAATCACGAGAACATATGAAAACAAAAAAATACCCTGGCGACGTACCCAACCCCTGCGCAAACGCGGGGTGCAAATAGTTTAGGAAACTTTATAAAGGGGCGATGACGGAGCGAGGGTTACATATGTCTGCAGACGGAATTCGGGAGATTCGCTGGACACTGGCTACACTGGCTATAACGACGACGACTATGACGACACCGGCGACGAGGATGACGACGGCGACGACGACGACGACGACAACGGCGACGATGACAACGGTGACGACGACGATGACTGCGACGATGATGACGACGACGGTGACGGCGACGCAACGACGACGACGGCGACGGCGACGACGTCGACGACCCGACGATGACGAAAATACGACGCCGACGACGATGACGACGCCGAGCAGGCCCTCCCAGCAGGCCTCGAAAGTGGCGACAGTTTCACAGATCGCAGCCCCCCCAGGGATGGCGAGGTCTAATTTGAATCCGCGCGTGGCCCTCACTGTGCTGGGCCCCCCAGCAGGCCTCGAAAGTGGCGACAGTTCACAGATCGCAGCCCCCCAAAGGATGGCGAGGTCTAATTTGGGTCTGCGCGTCGCCTCACTGTGCTGGGCCCCCCAGCAGGCCTCGAAAGTGGCGACAGTTTCACAGATCGCAGCCCCCCAGGGATGGCGAGGTTAATTTGGGTCCGCCCGTCGCCCTCACAGATCGCAGGCCCCCCAGGGAGGTCCTGCGCGTCGCCCTCACTGTGCAGGGAGCAGGCCTCGAAAGTGGCGACAGTTTCACAGATCGCAGCCCCCCAGGGATGGCGAGGTCTAATTTGAATCCGCCGTGGCCCTCACTGTGCTGGCCCCCCCAGCAGGCCTCGAAAGTGGCGACAGTTTCACAGATCGCAGCCCCCCAGGGATGGCGAGGTCTAATTTGAATCTGCCGTGGCCCTCACTGTGCTGGGCCCCCCAGCAGGCCTCGAAAATGGCGACAGTTTCACAGATCGCAGCCCCCCAGGGATGGCGAGGTCTAATTTGAATCTGCCCGTGGCCCTCACTGTGCTGGGCCCCCCAGCAGGCCTCGAAAATGGCGACAGTTTCACAGATCGCAGCCCCCCAGGGATGGCGAGGTCTAATTTGAATCTGCGCGTGGCCCTCACTGTGCTGGGCCCCCCAGCAGGCCTCGAAAATGGCGACAGTTTCACAGATCGCAGCCCCCCAGGGATGGCGAGGTCTAATTTGAATCTGCGCGTGGCCCTCACTGTGCTGGGCCCCCCAGCAGGCCTCGAAAATGGCGACAGTTTCACAGATCGCAGCCCCCCAGGGATGGCGAGGTCTAATTTGAATCCGCGCGTGGCCCTCACTGTGCTGGGCCCCCCAGCAGGCCTCGAAAATGGCGACAGTTTCACAGATCGCAGCCCCCCAGGGATGGCGAGGTCTAATTTGAATCCGCGCGTCGCCCTCACTGTGCTGGGCCCCCCAGCAGGCCTCGAAAATGGCGACAGTTTCACAGATCGCAGCCCCCCAGGGATGGCGAGGTCTAATTTGAATCTGCGCGTCGCCCTCACTGTGCTGGCCCCCCAGCAGGCCTCGAAAATGGCGACAGTTTCACAGATCGCAGCCCCCCCAGGGATGGCGAGGTCTAATTTGAATCTGCGCGTCGCCCTCACTGTGCTGGGCCCCCCAGCAGGCCTCGAAAATGGCGGCAGTTTCACAGATCGCAGCCCCCCCAGGGATGGCGAGGTCTAATTTGAATCTGCGCGTCGCCCTCACTTTGCTGGGCCCCCCAGCAGGCCTCGAAAATGGCGACAGTTTCACAGATCGCAGCCTCCCGCAGGCAAGACAGGAAGAGGCAGGGAGGGAGGGAGGAGGAAGGAAGGAAGGAGTGGAGACCACACTGCTCTATTCAAAACGAATACCCAACCAAGGAGGGTTGGGAACAATAACAACAAATGGCTTCGCAACAAGGGTGTTCAAAAAAAACTGCGCCCGCGATATTGCGAAGTCCCGAAAAAAACCATAGGCCATTAAACATGTTCATGAGATGCCACCAAGCGGGCATATCGCGCGCGCCGGTCAAAATCGTTTGAACACCTTCGCGAGCGTGTAGTCGCAAGAAACTCTTGCAAATAGGTGGCCGACGTGCACACGCGCGCGTCGTCGCGCGCGCATGCCGAAATCCGACAAAACCGTCGGCTCCGCAAGGATTTCAAAAACAACAAGAAAAAACGGGCGTCCCGAAAACATACAAAAACACGCGGTTTCGCGACATCCGCGGTCAAAAACACTGCGCTCGCGGTCTTGCGGATTCTTAAGAAAACCATTGGGTGTTCAACAGGCTCACAAAAATTCTGCCAAACGGGCCTCTCGCGCCGCATGTCGAGCTCACTCGGACGCCCGTGCGCGCGTGCTGGGGGGGGGGGGCACGACCCGTGTCAAATAGTTCAACGCGGGCCACTCGCGCGCGTCGGCCTCGCGCGCATGCCGAACTCCTTCAAAAGTACCCGCTGGGGCGTGCCCGGCGGTCAGCGCCACCGCGGCCGCGTCGGTCGCGCTAAACGAGCTGCAGTGCGCGCGAGCATGCGAGGGCTAGTGCGGCCGCAGAGATGCACCAGCCAAAACCCAGCATTCATCGCAATCGCCGCCGCATGGGTTTTGCAAACCAAGTTGCGGGTGGGTGGGTGGGGTGCTTGCAAGAGCAGAGGATGTGTCAACTCGCTTGTAAAGCAATTGCACCACATAGATTGTACCGTATAGCGTGCACCACACAGCTTGCACCACACAGTTTGCACCACACGTGTTGCACCACGTTGATTGTACCAAGGAGATGGCACTGCAATGATTGTATTGCACATGTTGTGCCACTTAGATTGAGCCTCATAGATTGGACCACAGGAAATGCCTTTGTGGTGTAATGACGCACCGATTGGGGCCCCACGCCGGCAAGCACAGAACCATCACTGGCTTGTGTTGTGCATCCCCTGTCTCCCTCCTTGTTCTCGTTCCCCTCTCCCTCCCTATGCTCACACTCCTCCTTCTCCCTCCGCTCTCCATCCCGTTCCAATTTTTCTCCTCTGCCTGCTCTTCTGGCAGGAGGGGGGGAAAAAGAAAACAGGGGGGGCGGGGGGGGGGCGGAGGGAAGCGGGAACGGAGTCGGGGATAGGGAATAGGGGGGGGGAGGAGGGAGAGGAGAAGGTGAGGGGGTCAGAGAGCGGGAGACGGATTGGGAAGGGGGAAGAGAGGGAGAGGGGGAAAAGAGGGGACGGGGGGAGGGTGGGGCAGGAGGGATGGGGAGAAGAGGCTAGCTAGGCACGCTCGGGCCACATCTCACATCCCGCTCCTCCCACCCACCCCTTCCCGCTGCACTGAATCCTTTTATTTCCGTCGACTGGGGTATCCTAGAGGACATGGATACCAAAATGGCAATTGCAGGGTCTGACCCATCGCTTGCCGCGCAATCGAAGCGTGGGCATGTGTAGATCGGAGGAGGGGAAGACGACGACGGCAAAGTGGATGATCAAGAGGAGGACGAAGGAGAAGGAGGAGGAGCAAGATCGGCAGGAGGAGCAAAAGAGGATCGGGGGAAGGAGGAGGAGGGGAAAGGAGGGGAACGGTAAAGACTGGGACGAAATCGGACACAGAGATCTGGTCCGCCCTGGGGCGAGGGCGCCAGTCTGGACCTCGGGAGCAAAGCAACGATCCTGAAGTGTGACCAACGCTTCCGCGGGAACGCCATGCTTAAATGACCGAAGACGTTTCGCTGGGAAACAAAACACAACACGTTTGGAAGTCCTGTGCCTAAAAAAGGTTGAAGGGGCGAGTGCACAGCCGGGCGTTGTCACGGGAAAGAGGAGAGCGGCACCCGCAGCGTGCAGCTGCCGAAGGGGGGGGAGGAGCACCGGAGGGGTGATACGGGGGGCGAGGACGAGGGCGAGGGCGGGAGAGGAGGAGGAGGAGGAGGAGGAGGAGGAGGAGGAGGAGGAGGAGGAGGAGGAGGAGGAGGAGGAGGAGGAGGAGGAGGAGGAGGAGGAGGGGCGGCGAGGGAGGGAGGGGGTCAGGCGGAGGGTGCGAGGCGGACGGGCGCCCAGGGGCTATGGGGGTGGGAGGAGAGGATGGGCTCCCAACCCTGCTGTGGTTCAGAGCTGGGAGGGCGTCTGCAGCGAAGCAAACCCCAACGAGAGTGGCCGATGCTCCAGAGTCGAGCGAATGCGCAGGGACTGACTACCTACCAGACCACCCCAACCCAACCCGAAGACCCGAATTAACCCGAATTTCGGGTTGGGGGGGGTACGGGTTCCATGCGTTTTTTCAACGTTCCCCGAGAAATGGAGTGCAAATGGAGGCCTTCGGGATGGGTTGGGGTGGTTTGGTGGGTGGTGAGGGACAGGGTTCGCAACTGGTCGCAGGACCTCCGCACAACACGGCCCCTCCGACACGCGCGCAATAACATACCCCGACAGACACGCCAGCGCGCCCCCCTCGGCGACCGTCCCCCCCCCGCCGACCTGGCCGTCACAGCGGGCCTCTCGCGCCCCGGGCCCCACGGCAAGAGCACCTCTCCGCTGAACCCGCGGCCCCTCGCAGGAGGCTTCGGCCTCGCCGAGGGAGGACGACGATGACGACGACGACGACGACGACGACGACGACGACGACGACGACGACGACGACGACGTCGACGACGGACGACCGACGACCGACGACCGACGACGACGACGGCGGCGGCGGCGGCGGCGTCACCGGAGGCGAGAGACAGCGAGAGACGGCCACGACCACGACGGGGACGCTGGACCCGAGTGCGAGGCGAGCACCGCCTGCACGGCAGGCGAGCACCGCCTGCACGGCAGGGGGGCCACCTGCTCGCGAAGCTCCACTTGCCGAGCCGGGCCTGGGCCTAAAAGGCTCCGCGTCGGCTGCGCCAGGCCCGTCCCGCACGCGCGCCACAGCGCACAGCACGAGTGGGTCTGAGTAGGAGTGAGCCTTAGCACAAATGAATATAAGCATGAGTCATTCTGAGTGTGACGAGTGAGCCTGAATATGAATGAGCCAGGCTGACGACGAGGAGGAGGTGAGCCAGAAGCGACCAGGTATTGACAAGAGCCCGACCTCAGGAGATGGAAAAATGGAAGATCCGAACTCTGGAAAAGAGCTGTACGAGAGAGCATGTGACACGCACGCCCGGGTTCGTGCACGAGGGAGCGGCGAGGGAAAGGAGATGTGTGGGAGGCCGGGCACGTGGAGTCAGAATCCAAGACCGATGACGAAAAAACATCCTAAGCCCAGGGCTGTGGGCAGAGAAGCCGTGGGAGGCCAGGGAGGCTGGAGGCCAGGGCTACCTGGGAGGCCAGGGAGGCCAGGGACGAGGACGACGACGACGACGACGACGACGACCACGACGACAACTACGACGACGACGACGACCACGACGACGACCGACGACGACGACGACGACGACGACGACGACGACGACGACGACGACGACGACGACGACGACGACCGACGACGAAAATACGAGAGATCAGGGGGGGCCAGGGAGCCGCCCGGGAGCCCCCACGAGGTCGTCGGCGGGTCCTGGGCCGCGGGGGTCCCCGGGGAGGTCCCGCCCTCGGGGTCGGCGGCACCGGCCACAAGGCCTTCGCAAGAACAAGAAAACAAGAAACGATCCGAAGCCCGGAGGGAAGGCGGGCCAGGGCCAGGGAGAGGCCGGGGGAGGCCAGCGAGGCCGGAGGCTGGGGCGACCAGGTCAGGGCGCGACCTCCTCCTCCTCCTCCTCCTCCTCCTCCTCCTCCTCCTCCTCCTCCTCCTCCTCCTCATCTCTCCTCCTCCTCCTCCTCTCCTCCTCCTCCTCCTCCTCCTCCTCCTCCTCCTCCTCCTCCTCCTCCTCCTCCTCCTCCTCCTCCTCCTCCTCCTCCTCCTCCTCCTCCTCCTCGCGTGAGCACCCCATCCAGGACTGGACGGAAGTAAAGAACTCTGGAGCTCTAGAGCGCAAGCGCGTGAGAGAATGAGAGTGCTTCACACCGTCGGCACCAGAAGAGCGACAGCCCAGGTGCCAGGAACCTCCCGCACGACACGGCCTGAAGAGGCCCCAAGATGCAAAGCAAGAAGCGCCCCTGAGGCCCCCCAGGATGCCCCGAAGAGGCCCCGAGAGGCCCTCCATGAGACCCAAGCACGGTGACGGGATGGGCCGCAAGTCACTGGAAGAGATGGAGGGAAGGAGAGAGAGCGAGAGGAGAGAGAGCAAGAGGGAGAGAGAGAGGGAGAAAGAGTAAGAGATAGAGAGAGAGAGACAAGAGAAAAATACGTGCGTGTGTATATATATAAAGAAAAAGAAAGAGAAGGAGAAACGAAAGAAAGATCTGCCAACCCCGACTTGCCATGGGTGAAAAGGTATGTCTCACTCCCCCTTCCTCTTCGGTGGCAACTCCTGGGAGCCTCCCATACTATATTGTCGACTCTTGCGACTAGACGCTAATCGACGCTAGTCGACGCTAATCGACGCTAGCCGACGCTAAATCGGCGCTATCTCATCGACTCCCAGACGTTAACCGACGCGAATCGACGCTAAAGACGAGATTATGAGTGTATACCAAGCTCCCATGATTCCCCCCACTCCCACGAGGGCCCTGAGTCGCGTCAGACGGGGCGGGGGCCAGAGGGGACACTCACAGTCTCCAAATCCACCCTCCGTGCCCTCCAAGATGGCCAAGATGCCAACTGATGCCCTCCAAGATGACGAAGATGTGTCAAGACAGGCTCCAGGATGGCCAAGATGACAAAGATGGGTCAAGATGGCCAACATGACCAAGAGGCCAACTGATGCCCTCCAAGATGACCAAGATGGTCAAGACAGGATCCAAGATGGGTTCAGATAGGCTCCAAGATTACCAAAATGGTGCCCTCCGTGCCCTCCAAGATGACCAAGATGGTTCAAGACAGGCTCCACCGCACCAGAGAGGCTTCAAAACGGCCCAAGAAGCCCCCACGACGGCACAAGAGGGCTGCCAGAGCAACCCGCAAAGGGCCTTGATGGTAACAAATCACTGGTTCCCAATTTGGGTCTGGAGGATTCTCGCGTTCTCGCCGTTCTGGGCTTAGGAAACCCTATAGCGGCCCGAGGAGCCCTGCAGATCGGCACAAGACGGCCCAAGAGGCCACCAAGTAGGCCCAGAGCAGAGACTGCCAAAAAAGGCCCCAAGACGGCCCAGGAGGCACCCAAGACAGCCAAACAGGCCTTCACGATGACCCACAAGGGGCCCCAACGAGGCCCAAGGAGGGGAATTCGAAGGAGCCCCGGGAGCCATCTCACACAAGATGGCCCCCAAGACTCCCACCGCGCCCCCCAAGAGGCCCCTCAGAACCCCCCAGAGGGCGCCAGAAGGCCCCCCAGGAGTCCTCGAAACGCTGCCAAGCGGACGCCCCCGAGGCCTCTCAGAGATTCCCGTTCAGCCCAGCAACAGACGCCAAGTGACTTGCAACATGCCTCGTGGTCGTCCTGCTACCCTTCTTCCTCCTCCTCCTCCTCCTCCTCCTCCTCCTCCTCCTCCTCCTCCTCATTTGTCGTTGTTTTTCTCCCAATGCTCCTTTTTCTGGGGGCCGGCAGAAAAGCGCAAGCCCCTTGAATGTCGAGGCGCGACCGTATGTTCAACTCCAGTTCCACCTCTTCATCCTCGTCCTCCTCCGTCGCCTCATTATGTTCTCTTCCAGATGGTCCCCCGATGTGTGAAAACGACAAAGAGTTGGAGACTGAGAGGGGGGAGTGAGAGAGCGAGAGAGAGACAGAGAGGTGCAGGCACACATGAATCTCGTTCGCCTCCTCCTTCTGCACCCCTCATCCTACTTCTCCTCCTCCTCCTCCTCCTCCTCCTCCTCCTCCTCCTACTCCTCGTACGTACGACTGCAATTGAATTGAACGCAGTGCACTGCGACATAATTCGATTCAACGCAGTGCAAGGCAGTGCTGCGCAATGCGCCGCAGCAGAACGCAAGGCAAAGCAATACAATAAAATGCAAACCATTACACGGCAATGCCACGAATGAAAGTAAGCTCTTATCCGCGCAATGCAATGCATTACAAAGACGTGAATTGCACCGCAAGGCACCAAAATGCATGACATGCATCGCACTGCAACACGGTGCAGGACAAAGCAGGACAAAGAAATGGCATGGAACGCTTTCCGATACTACGGAATGGAATGCTAATAGATCCAGCAAAGTGCAAAGGACTGATATATAACCCAATGCAGCACAATGGGCACACTCTTCCTCATCATTATCATGTTCACCTTTCACCCCCTCTGATCCCAACCCTTCAATATGTGTATGTGTCTTCTTGATCTTCACCCCCATCATCCTTGTCACCATCATCACCATCACCACCACCATCATCATCAACATCATGGTCACAAGCATCATCACCATCATCAGCATCGTCATCATCATCATCATCATCATCATCATCATTGCCATCCTCACCATCATCATCACCATCATTATCGCCACCATCATCATCACCATCATCACCATCGTCAGCAGCATCTTCATCCCCATCTTCATCATCACCATCATCGTCATCATCATCATCGACAACATCATCATCACCGCGATCCTCCTGAGTGTCGTCTTCACCGTCGTCATCATCAAAATCCTCGTCCTCGGCCGCCTCAGCCCCAAACACCTTATCAACATGACAGGTGAGACATTCACGTGGTGCCCAGAATCCTGATGATGACGCGCCAGTCCGAGGAGGCAGGAAGAAGAGCGCAGGAGATCGATGGCGGGACGGGAGTCGGGGGCGGCCAAGAGGGGGTGTGTCCAAGAGGGGGGGGTGCAAATCATAACTGGCGGCATGTGCGCGGCCCGGGGGGGGGCCAGGGGACGTATTCAAATAAGAAGAGGCGCCACGAATCTAGGAAAATATCATGGCCACCGCCATGATATCCACCCCCCCTAGTCATCACCCCCCCAAGGAAGGATGCGAAGGAGGGGCCGGCGAGGAGGGGGCAGCCGGGACGAGCAGAGACCGCGAGCGACTACGACGAGAGACCAACGGCGGCGACCCGCAGGCGGGCAGAGGGCAAGAAGACCGGGAGGCTCGCAGTGATGTGGGACGCACAGACACGCACTGGTACTGTATGTCCTCCTTGGAGGCGCGCGCCCGACCCGAACACATAGCATACCCATCTTGTAGTACATCGTTTCCCGAGCGGTGTGGCCAGAATTGCGCCCGCCACGACGAAAAGACTTCTCGGTGTGCGCGTCGCCCTTGGGGGGGCGACGCACATGTAGTGTACTCCAGATTTCGTAATAAAAGGGAGGGGGTCTGGACCCTCCAAGACAAGCCATTTCAGACCTCCCCCGTGGGAGAACCCTCCAAAACATCGTCCCCAGACCCCCCAGGCCCTCCAAGATAGCCTGGAAGAGACCCCCCCCGAAATGAGACTCCCCTCCCTTTATCACGAAACCTGGAGTAAGCATGCTGGGGTGGCGACGAGGACGGGCCACGAGCGACTTGTCGGCACCACGCGGCGGCTCACAGCTGCCTCCCGCCGTGTTCTCCCCGCCGAGCGTGGCGACACACAACTTGCGGTATATCGGTGCGCGTATGTACACCGGCGGAACCGGCTCGGGGGGGAGGAGGGGAAGGGAGGGGCGGGAGAGGGGGGGAGGGGAGGGGGGGCGGCGTGCTGGCAGGGGAGCAGGGAGTCCGGCGAGGGGCCACGGGGGAGGCCGGAGAGGCCGAGGACAGACGACCACGCCGGAAGCGCCGAGCGCGGAGCTGGCACGAGCCTCTGGAGGTCCGCTCAGAGCCGCCTCGGTCGACGCGCGGAGCGCGCCGGGGGCGGCGCCCGAGGCGCCCCACCGGGGAAGGGGCCTCCTCCTCCTCCTCCTCCTCCTCCTCCTCCTCCTCCTCCTCCTCCTCCTCCTCCTCCTCCTCCTCCTCCTCCTCCTGCTCCTCCTCCTCCTCTTCGCGCGGACCTCCGAAAGCTTATTTGGGCGGGTGGTAACCGTCGAAAGCATGTCTGTGAAGATGTGTCGCTTTGTGCCGACTGAGAGGCGCTGAAAAACGACAAAAAAACAAGCTGTGGGCCAGTCGGTTGTCTCTGAGAGAGTGCACTGCGGTGGAGGTAGGAAAAGAGAGGCGGCCAGCATCGGCACAGCGGAGTCCGCGGACATGGGGCCCTCTCACTGACCCCCCGTTTCAGGCTCCACCCACCACCTCCCGAAAGCATATCTGAATACCGTCCTTCACTCTTCGATAGGACGACGGACAGAGACACACTGGTACTGTATGTCCTGCTTGGAGGCGCGCGTCCGACCCGAGCATATAGCAGATCCATGTTGTGGTATATCGTTTCTCGAGCGGCGTGGCCAGAATAGCGCCCGCCACGACGGATATACTACAAGAGTTCTGGGTGCGCGCGTCGCCCCTGGGTGACGCCGATCTTTGCTCGGTGGCGGCATCCGGGCCCCACCCCCAAGAAACCATCGATTCTCCAGAGACGACGGGAGGCGGGGGTGGGGTTCGGATTATGCCGAGTCTTCGGCGCAGTCCAAGCCCCAATCCTGCCGCCCATCGAGCTCCCTGAATCGTCGATCGGCGAGAGTAGAGGGCGCGCTCCGCCGCCGAAAATGGAAGTTGAGTTAGACCGGGGAGGGGAGCGGGAGGGAGATGCATGAATACCGTCTCACGACACTGGATGATCGGTTTGGAGGATCGCGCCGCATCGCCAATGCAACGGCGATTGCGGAGTGGAGAAGAACGGGCCTCAAATGGCGCCGCAACGCTGACGCATCGGCGGTGCGGCGCGATCCTTCGACACCATCTGCTCTGGCCCTGCTTGGGAGGCAGGCAGGCAACTGACACGATTCCGTCTGCCAGACTGTACTACAACGCCGCGAATTGCGCGCGGCACGGACCATGTTTGGCAACCGCAGCTCTAGCCAAGGGGCGGACAAGGGAAGAGGGAGAAGAGGGGGATAGAGAGAAGAAGGAGGACGACGACGACGACGGCGCAAACGACGACGACGACGAGTAGGATGAGGAAGACAATGGTGATGAGGAGAAAGAACAGGAAGAAGGAAGGGAAAGGAAGCGGGATAACGTAAAGGAGAACGAGGATAACGGGGGCAACGTTGAAGAGAGGCGGATGATGATTATGATGCTGATGACGATGACGATGACTCTGACGGTGATGGTGATGATGATGACGAAAGAGAATGATGATGGTGGTGGTAATGATCGTAGCGATGACGAACAATGACCGTACTGACGGTAAAAATTACGATAGTGATGGTGATAATGATGATGACCATAGGGACTACGATGGTGCTGACAATAATGATGACTACGAAAAATGCGCGAGGCCTGTTGTCATGTGTCCGGGTAAATGATGTTGGGAAGTGACGCCGACGCCCCGAAAACTAAGGAGGAGGTAGGAGGAGGACAAGGATGATATCGAGAGAGGGGCGGTGGGAAATATCTGTATACGAGCACGTTAATGGTACAAAACATACTGTGTATAAATATATACACATGTATACACGTGCATGTACAAACATGGAGGCATGGAAACACGGAATGTATCTGAAAGCGCCCAGGTGCCACTCTTGCTTGCGTGCGAGCGGGATTGCTGCTGCGTGCTCGTTGTTAGTGACAGATTAAGGCCACGACGTTGATACTGATTATTATTTGTGTTCGATATACACACGTGATATAATACTACTGTTTTGATTTTCCCATAGCAAGTTTACGCATGAGCGCGATGCATTTGCAAATGGACGTGATGGCAAAATCGCGCCGAAGCGCAACCAGATAGTAGCGCGGTCGTCGCCTGGGTAAGGCGTGGTCACAACGAGAACTAACCAACATAGATTCCTCCGTTCACACAGAAAGGCAGAACTGGCACCTACGCGTGCAATATATCCGATACACCAAAGATACCCAATACACCTAAGACACAAACCACTAATACTTAGGATACCCAAACAAGCCGAAGACACCCATGATACCCAAGACCCGAACATACCCACAACCCTCCAAATTTAAATACCCAACACACAAGACAGACCCAAGACGCCGAAGACTGTCAACGCACCTAAAATGAACAACATGCCACGGACTCCGAATACACTCAATACCACGCAAGGCACCCAAGAACACCCCAAAGACACCAAAGACTCCCAAGATATCCAAGACACCTCGGAAAGATTGGCTGGAGCGCGTACCGTTTAAAGGTAAAAGACACAGTGTTGGATGCGTCCGTCGAGCGGCGTCGAATGTCTTTTTTCTCGTGAACAATGAAAGCAGCAGTAGCTTAAGTAGTTAAACTTCACAACCACTGGTGGTGGATGGCGGAGCGCGTGTGTGCTAGCGTTACTCATGTTATATTGCTTGTAGTGGTGCCTTGTCTGCAGGTCGGGTCTGCCCACGGCGCAACCCTCGCCGCTGCCGGAGCCCCGGCGAACGCAGAGAGTCCTCAGGCCCGTGATAGATCACGGATCCGATGGCTGCTGGATCCTGGAGATGGCTTCCTGGCCACTGCAACAAACAAACAAAAAATGATACCGGAGAAAAATCCCAATCATAATCTTTTTAGGGTTATAGGGCTATGGGGCTATAGGGCTATGGGGCTATAGGGCTATAAGGTTACGGGGCTATAGGGTTATAGGGCTCTAGGGCTGTAGGGCTATAGGGCTACAGGGTTACAGGGCTATAGGGCTACAGGGCTATAGAGCTGTAAGGTTACAGGGCTATAAGGCTATAGAGCTATAGAGCTATAAGGCTACAAGGCTATTGGCGCTATAGGGCTAAGAGGGCTATGAGGCTATAGGGTTATAGGGCTGTAGTGCCATAGTGCTATAGGGCTATAGGGCTATAGGGCTATAGGGCTTTAGGGCTATAGGGCTATATGGCTACCCGGCAACCTGGAACCCTGGCACCTGGGCACCCGGGCGTGCCGCCAAAATCAGCGCCACTACTCACCGAACCATATTATACCGGAGAAGAAACCCAATCATAATCTTTTTAAGGCTATAGGGCTATGGGGCTATCTGCTTTAGGACCACAGGGCTATTGGTCTATAGGGTTTAGGGCTATAGAGCTATAAGGCCATAGGGATATAGAGCTATAGGGCTACAGGGCTATAGGGCTATAAGGCTGTAAGGCTATAGGGTTAAAGGGCTATAGGGCTATAGGGCGATAGGGCTATGAGGCTATAGGGCTATAGGGCTATAGGGTTGTAGGGCTATTGGGCTATTGGGCTATTGGGCTATTGGGCTATGGCCTATAGGGCTATGGGCTATAGGGCTCTTGGGCTATGGGCCTATAGGGCTATAGGGCTATGGGGTTACAGTACTACCAGGCACCCGGGCACCTCGTAGATGGGTACCGTGTGCGACACATCTTCGCCAGAATCCATCACGATGCCAGGAGGCACGGCTGGGGGCGCACAGCGAGAGCACTGCCTGGATGGCCACGTACATCGTGGGCACGTTGAAAGCCTCAAACACGATCTGGGTCATACGCACGCGATTCGCCTTGGGGTTCAGGGCCGCCTCGGTGAGGAGCACGGGATGCTCACCCAGGGCCACGCGGAACTCTTTGTAGAACGTGTGGTGCCAAATCTTCTCCACGTCGTCCCAATTCGTCACGATGCCGTGCTCGATGGGGTACTTCAGCGTCAGCACGCCGCGCTTGCTCTGCGCCTCGCCGCCCACGTAGCTGCCCTTCCAGTCCCTCCCGACCATGATCCACGGCATCTTGGGGCGCCCGACGATCGAGGGGAACACCATGCGGGAAGCGTCGTCGCCCGCGAAGCCAGCTTTGCACATGCCGCTTCAGTTGTCCACCACCAGGGCGGCGACCTCCTCCTCCTCGCCCCTGGCTGGCTGCCGCAGGGCGATCCGCGGGCCTGGCGCGCGGCGGGTCCAGCCAGAGGGCGGAGGCTCAAGTCATCCTTTATTCTTGAGCCAAACCCTTCTTGAGCCATTGATGGTGATGGTGATAATAATGGCGATGACGATGATGGTGATGATGCTGGTGCTGGTGGTGGCGATGACGACGACGACGGCGACGGTGATGATGATGATGATGATGATGATGATGACGACGATGATGATGATGATGATGATTATGATGATGGTGATGATGATGATGATGATGGTGGTGATGGTGATGGTGATGGTGATGGTGATGATGATAATGATGATGATGATGATGATGATGATGGTGATGGTGATGGTGATGGTGATGATGATGGTGATGATGGTGATGGTGGTGATGGTGGTGATGATGGTGATGGTGATGGTGATGGTGATGGTGATGGTGATGGTGATGGTGATGGTGATGGTGATGGTGATGGTGATGGTGATGGTGATGGTGATGGTGATGTGATGGTGATGGTGATGGTGATGGTGATGGTGATGGTGATGGTGATGATGATGTGATGGTGATGGTGATGGTGATGGTGATGGTGATGGTGATGGTGATGGTGATGGTGATGGTGATGGTGATGGTGATGGTGATGGTGATGGTGATGGTGATGGTGATGGTGATGGTGATGGTGATGGTGAGGGTGATGGTGATTATGATGGTGATTATGATGATGATATGATGATGATGATGATGATGATGATGATGATGATGATGATGATGATGATGATGATGATGATGATGATGATGATGGTGATGGTGATGGTGATGGTGATGGTGATGATGATGATGATGATGATGATGATGATGATGATGATGATGATGCTCATGATGATGATGCTCATGATGGTGGCTTTGGATATTGATGCTGATGCTGCTGGGGATGGGATGGGGATGGGGATGATGGCGGTGCTGGCAATCATGACGAGGATGAGGAGGACATGCCAGGCGAGGCAAACTCGGCGGCCCAGCTGTCGACCCTGCCCCGCAGCGTCAGCAGAACCTTCTGGGGGCGCGCCGACCCGGGTCGGCCAGAACCGATGCTGGCCAGGGCCAGGCCGGGAACCGGGGCAAGGCCATGAAGCAGCTCCCAGACCCGGCCGCGGCGAAGGCAGGGCAGGGGCGGCGAGGGCGGGCTCTGCGCGGCCCCCCACCTCCTCCTCCTCCTCCTCCTCCCCTCCTCCTCCTCCTCTCTCCTCCTCCTCCTCCTCCTCCTCCTCCTCCTCCTCCTCCTCCTCCTCCTCCTCCTCTCCTCCTCCTCCTCCTCCTTCACCTCCTCCTCCTCCTCCTCCTCCTCCTCCTCCTCCTCCTCCTCCTCCTCCTCCTCCTCCTCCTCCTCCTCCTCCTCCTCCTCCTCCTCCTCCTCCTCCTCCTCACACCCGGGTTGCCCATGGGGAGAGCCGAGGAGATTGGCGGACCCCCGCTGGCGCCGACCCCCTGGGCCTGCCCGCCCCAAGACCTCCTCACGCTTCGCAAGAGTCACGGCGGACGGTCTGTGGCCTCGCTCCGCCTCCCGCGGCACCTGACCGGGCCCTGGGGCCGCCAAGAGACCCGGGACGAGAAGCCAGCCGCGGGAAGCGGTCCAGACCTCCCAGGATCCACGCGGCGCAAAAGTCTCGACGTCGGAAGTCGTGGTCCGTGTGGCTGAAGGGCCATGGCTTCCAAGCCTCAAGCGGCCGCTCGGGGCGATGCCGCATCCCTGGAACGCTGGCTTCGGAGAGCGTACTTTGCGAGAGCGGCCGTTACTGGCCCTGGCCAGCGTGAAACGTGACGTTGCGGGCGCCGGCGCCAAGCTCCCCCCAAATAACGCCCGCTCTCGCCCTGGAATAATACTGAAGGCTCTCCCACGGACCACAGCCGACGGAAGCCACCCCCGCGGCCACGAAGACCTCCGAGAACTTCCGAATGCATCCGAGAAGCTTCCCAGCTTCCCTGAGATCCGCCGCTGCTGGGAAAAGTTAGACAACATCGCGAGGAATCACGCCCAGAGCCCCAGACTGCTCCACTCTTCGAGCCGCCTCGACCCGGGAGGGCCCCGTGGCCCGACGCCTGGCGAGAACGCCCGTGGTGAACAGACCGCAGCGCCCGCGTCCGAGGCTTGCGCGCACCCCGAGCACCTTCGGGGATCCACTGATCCAGGTCCATCCAAACCCAGGTCGGCCGGGCCCCTGCGGGATCCTGCGCAAGTCCGGCAGGATCCTGCACCCAGGCCCCGGCCACTGCGACCCTGGCTCCGCGAGACCCTGCAAGATCCGGCGATCTGACTGACCCCCGCTTGCATCGACCCCCGTCTCGCCGCGCCCCGTAGCTCTCGGGCCACAGCTCGGCTCTCAGGCGGCCGCTCGGGGCGACTCCGGCACCCCCAGAGAGCCCTCGGCGAGGCGCAGCTGCTGGAGAGCGCCCCGAGGCTGGAAAGCCGCCGAGAACCTACGAAACCGTTCGAAAGCCCCGAGCACCTGGGGAAGCCGTTCTGTAGCGCCGGCTGGGCCTGCGCCGCCTCGGGCCGGCCGCCCAGGAGCGCCCGCGCACCGCCGAAGCCCGCGGCGTGCGCTGGGAGGCGGGGCGCAGCGCGCTCGTTCCACTGCCGCTCGAAGTCCGGGTACTGCTCCTCTCGGGGGGGGGGTCCGAAGGCTGCGCGGTGGCCGCTCAGCAGGCATGCGACGTCTCGAAGCCAAATCCCCCTCCTCCTCCTCCTCCTCCTCCTCCTCCTCCTCCTCCTCCTCCTCCTCTTCCTCCTCCTGTTCCTCCTGTTCCTCCTCCTCCTCCTC